CTTTCCCTAATTGTCCCATGCTGTTTAGTTCATAGAATCATGGAGAGGTTTGCGTTGGGAGCTAGAAGGTCATCTAGATCCAACTCCCCTGCGGGCAGGGACACTTCCCACTAGACCACGTTGCTCCAAGCCCCATCCAAGCTGGCCTTGGACACCTGGGGCAGTCACAGCTTCCCTGGGTAACCTGTCCCATTGTCTCACCACTGCAGGATAGTCACCTTGGAAGTGCTACTGTCTGGGGGGTGGGCTGTCCCAGGGGTCCCACACCCCCCAGCTTGGTTTCGTCCCTGAGGAGCACACTGCAGCCCTCGTTGGCTGCTGTATCTCCTATCGGGGGCACAGGGGCTGCTGTTGGCACCATGGCCCCGTGCCTGCGGGCAGAGCATCCCCTCCTGCATCATGGGGGGATGAGCCCTCTGCACCCCAAGGCAAGGGCAGTACCCGCTGGGGGCTTGGGCTGAGGGTCCCAGGGATGACGGGGGCAGGAGCCACCCAGGGCCCTGCCATGCTCAGCAGCACCAAGGCGCAGGATTGCACCGGGGAAGGTGGGTGGTGCAGGAGATATGGGCGGTGGGACGGAGCAGCTCAAGGGAACCCCACAGCCTGGGCTACCAAGGCTCCGTGGAGCCCAGCAGAGCCCAGCCCCCGCAGCCCCGCGGTCCCTCCGGAGGCCCGGCCCGGCTCTGTCTGCCTGGGTTGGTGCTAGTGAGCGCTCAGGGTTAGTGGTGGGAGGGGCTGGGGCTGTCTTGCTAGTAGGGAGTGAAGCGGCTGTACCCTCCTCGGTATAGACTAGCCTGCAACATCAAAGATGAAAAAAAAGCCAATCAGTATTCGTGAGAGAGGCAAAGCCCAGTTCTTCCCTTTTAATTTTTTTTTTTTTTTTTTTTTTTCCTCTTTAAAATGACACCAAATCACTTGTACTTGGGAAGTGAGGGGTGGGCAGGGCTCAGAGAGCTCTGTGCTGGCAGGGCTCAGGTGCAGCTGGTGCCCCATGCCACCAGCATGGCACCACCGTGGCCTGCAGTGACCGCGGAAGGAGCCTGTCCTGTCCCTGCTGTGGTGTGGGCTGGTACCTGCCCTGCCAATCCCCATGGGACTGAAGGGCTGCACCCCTCACTAGCAGCTGCCTGGGGCCAGCTGTGCCAAGTGGTGTTTGGCAACCTGACCCTGGCCCAGCTGGGGATGAATGGGTTAAAAAAAGCAGGAAAAAAAAGACAGTTTGGCTTTGAGATCCTGTCCAGGAATGGGATTTTTCATCTTTGATGCTGGCTGTGAGGCTAGCTAAATGTGGGTGGGTGGGCTGCGGGTGCTCCCTGCACCTGGCTGTGCGCTGGGACCAGAAAGGTGGTCCTGGTCCAGGCAGTTGGTGTAGGGGTAGCTGAACTGGGAGGTCCCCTCTCTTGCCTGCCTGTGGACAGAGACAGGCAGGGGGCGGCACTGTCCCCCCTCCCCCCCTTTAGCCCCTGCTGGGGGGGCTGCCCCGCGCCCCTCACGCCCCGCAGGCTCCCCAGACGGCTGTGCTGGGCCCCCCTCCCTGGGCTGGCTGCAGCTCACGCTGGGCAGCAAAGAACAGTGGCAGGGGCTGCTCTTACCATGGTGCCAATGCTGTACGTGGCAGTGGGGCCGATGGTGTGGTGGTACGGGTCTGCCGCGGCGTACACTCTGCCGTAACTAGAAGCAAACACAATGGTGGCTGTTAGTGACCAGTCCCATCTCCCCTCAGTAGCCCCCCGGCCCCCTGGATCCTCCAGGACCTTCCCTCTTCTCCTTGCCCAGGTACCAGCCCCTGACAGAAGGATCCAAAAGGGAGCGCAGGGGCCCTGGTTCCCAGGACACCCTCATTGTGCCTGGCTCCATCCTTGTTCCACAGGGCACAAAAGTTGGGGTGTGCCCAACCAGACAGTGCAGGAGGTGAAGCAGGGTGTCCCCCCCAAGCCCTGGAGCCCCTGAGGCAGGGGTGCTTACCTGTCGCTGTATGCTGCTGCTGCTGCTGCAGGCTGGGCGTATCTGTAGGCAGCATAGCCCCCCTGCAACGGACGGGAGACTGTGTCAGGGGGGGGGCAGCACCCCCCGGGGGAGCCC